ATCTCCCTGTCTTTATTCACCAAAGCCACAGCAGGAAAACTAGAGGTAAGAAGCAAGGGAATATTGAAAGGTTGAAATCTGAGAGCAGCAAAATCCATGGGGCGAAGCCTGAGTTTCTCTGATGGATTGTCCCTGGAATTTCAGACATTTCTGGCAATTCTTCAGTTTATTTCTTGGTCTTGTAAGGTTTTCAGAAGAGCAGTGTTGAGTTTTGGTGTTTGCCTGTGCTCCCTGCATCCCTTTGGGGCTGTTCCACGCTCTGCAGCTTTGTTCCCAGGTGGGGTGGAGCTCTCAGCTCGGGCTGCTGGAGCACTGGAAATGCAGAGAGCACACAGGATCCGGGTGTCATTCCTGCAGGAGGGGACACAGGGACATTCCTGGGTCATGGGAATGCTTCCTGGGCTCCTGTGTCTGGGCAGACTGAAGGCAGGCAGTGACTCTGGGCTGCACAAAACAGCAGGAGAATGTTCTTCAGTGTCTCCCTTGTTGGTTGTTTCTCCAAAGAGGGTGTGGAAAACCAGGTTTCCATGGAAAACCAGGTGTTCCCTGGCTTAAGACTACTCAGAGTTTTCTCCTTCTGGCTGCTTCAGAATGTTCCTGGAGCCCTTGGGAAGAATGTGCTGAGTGGAACAGACAGAAGGAGGTGGAGGGTTGGGAGCTGGGGGGAGTCTCCAGGTGTCCCTGTGGTCCCTGGTGGGAATGGGGAATGTCAGCGTGCCTGTGTTGCTTGCAGGGCTCGTTGCTGTGGGAGAGAAGGCCCAGAAGAGGTCCGGCCATTACGTGGTGATGAAGGATCTTTCAGGTGAGATTCTTGTCTGGAATAACGCAGTTCCCAGAGGCTGGGTGGGCCCTGACCCTGGAATGTCTGTGTGCCAGGGAAGCACCCGGTGTCTGCGCTGATGGAGATCTGCAACAAGAGGAGGTGGACGCCCCCCGAGTTCGTGCTGGTGGACGACAGTGGGCCTGATCACCGCAAACATTTCATCTTCAAGGTGGGTCTGGGCTGCCTGCCCCTGTGCTGCTTTCCCTCTGCCAGGGGTGAAATCCATGTTTCTGTTTGATAGAAACACCTCACGGGGCTGGCTGAGGATGGTGGAGCCGTCTCGGTGCTGGAATGTGCAAGTCCTGTTCCTGGAAAGGCCAAACCGAGTCCCTGGAGCACTTTATTCTGGGATCCCAGGGCTGGAGCCCCTCTGGAGCCAGGCTCGGAGAGCTGGGGGTGCTCACCTGGAGGACAGAAGGCTCCAGGGAGACCTCAGAGCTCCTTGCTGGGCCTAAAGGGGCTCCAGGAGAGCTGCAGAGGGACTGGGGACAAGACATGGAGGGGCAAAACACCAGGAGTGGCTTCCCACTGCCAGAGGGCAGGGCTGGCTGGGATCTTGGGAATTAGGAATTGTTCCCTGGCAGGATTGGCAGGCCCTGGCACAAGGTACCCACAGCAGCTGGGGCTGCCCCTGGGTCCCTGGCAGTGCCCGAGGCCAGGCTGGCCACTGGGGCTTGGAGCAGCCTGGGGCAGTGGAAGATGTCCCTGCCCGTGGCCGGGGTGGAGTGGGATGAGATTTAAGGTCCCTCCCAACCCGAAGCTCGGTGGGATGCCGCAAAATGTCCGTGCTGAGAGGCAGCCAGGGGTTCCGTGTGTCCCTAAAGAACTGCCCAGACTGTGCCTGGGGCAGCCACGGCCCCCTCGCTAACCCCTGGTTCCCCCGTGCCAGGTGAGAGTCAATGGCAACGAGTACAGGCCCACCTTTGCCAGCCTTAACAAGAAGCACGCGAAAGCCACGGCGGCCACGGCGGCGCTGCAGGCCATGGGACTCGTACCAAAGGAAAGCATGGTCAATACCACCATGTTCAGGAGTGCCTCACACCGCTAAGCTTGGCTTTACTGGGACACTGGTTCTGAGCATTGTACTCTGCACAAGAAATGGTATTTGCCCCTCTCATGTTGTAAATACATCGGCGATTCCCACCTTGTAAAAACTGTACAGACACCCACAGGTTTTTCTTTTGTACCATCCAAATGTATTTAAATCATACTTAGTTTTTGGTATGTTTATATTGTTTACATTAGTGATGTAATTATTTCTTAAACGACTAAATCAGACGACAGACTCTGGAGGCATCAGAAATCCAGACCCTTGGCTGAAGCTCCTGCGGTTCAGAACGTTGGCCCTTTGATACAGTTTTGTAGTGGCTGCAGAGTTCCCTGGGCTCGGGGGGGTGCTGGGGACACCCAGGGGCCGTGCCCGGGCGCTGCCCCTCGGTGCCACCGGTGCCCCGGGACCGCCGGAGCCGCGGGCGCTGCCGGAGCGATGCGGAGATTTCGGACACGACCCGGCCCGGCCTCCTGGCGGCCCCGGGAGGGGGACCTGGGGCCGCTCTTCCCAACCAGTGAATCCACTGCCTGATGCCGATTGTACGGATTTGTGGTTCATGTGAATTTTAAACTCTTAACAGATCTACAACTGGATTTGGGGGGAGGGAGGGGGTAGAATTACGCTTCAATTGTTGTACCCAACTTGGTCAATAAAGCAGCACAAGTTCATAATCTTCACCCCTGGTCAGTAAACAGTAATTCCAATGGATGCCAAGCCAGGAAACAGGAATTTTAAATACCCCAGAATGCCTTCTGCAAGAAACACATACGATACAGAAGTGGCTTTGTGAGGATTCTCAACAGCCATCGGGATGGCAGGAGCGGGGTCTGGTTGTTTTCGTTTGTTTTGAACTTTATTAAATAACTCCTTGGGATTAAATGTTTCCATAAGGATCCTCTGCTCTCAGGGGGCCTGATCCAGAGTTTGGGCAGTTGAACAGTGGGAGAGGATGTAGAAAGCTTTTCCTGCTTTTTAGTTTATTTTTTATTTAAGAAGCATTAATCTTTGATCTGTGTGCACCTGGGATGGGAAGGGGCAGTGCACCCTCCCTGAGGGATCTGAGTTAGGAGCAGGCTGCCAGGATTTCTGCACTGGGGTCGTTCAGGTCCCAGACAAGTCTCTGTGAGGTGTGAACCTGAGCTGGGTTTGGGGACAGAACAAACCCAGCCAGGCTGCTCAGGCCTCACGTGAGGGACCCTTTGGCCGTGGGCCCATGGAGCTGAGGAATTCCTGGTACCCGGAGCCCTGTGGATCCCGTCAGTGGCACAGAACACGGAGTCTCCTTGCTCTGCAGGGACAAGGGTTGGTGTTTCCCGTGCAGCAGGGAATTGGGGTTGGTTTGGAGACAGAAAAGCCCCTCTGAGTCTGTCCAAGCGCTCTGGAAATGCTTCAGTTGATCTTCATTTCATGGACGTTGTTGTCTTGAATTAAACTTTTTTCCCTTTGGCATCTTGCCGTCGGTCTCTGACTAAATGTGTGGAGCTTGTCCTGCGAACTGCCCGGGAGGTGTGGAAACCCCGGGAGCTGCGGGAGGAGGTGCCCTGGGGGTGCCAGGCTCCACCCCGGGGCTGGGAGCAGCTCCCACCGCACCCCGTGGCTTGGCAGAGCTCAAACCTGGCAGCTGCTGAGGATTCTCTGCATGGCAGCTCAGCATTCACAGCTGGACACCATCAAATTTGGGAACGTACAAGCCCCTCTACTTGTTTTGTTCTTTTTTCTGTAATCCCCGTTTACCATGCATAAGGTAAAGATGTGAGTTCTCTCCTAGCAGCAGAGAAATGCAGTCCCACTAAAGACTCCATTTGAAAAATCACTGTTAGGCAAGGTCTGGATTTCATGGCTCAAAGCTGGGGAAGGGATGGGGGTCTGTGTGTCCCCGGGCCAGGAGCAGCCCGGAGCTGGGAGCAGCTGGGGTTTGCTCCTGGAGCCGACAGCTCACAGCAGTTCAGTGACTGAACTGCACTCTCACACAGTAAAGCAATGGTTAACCACCAAGAATCCCAGCAGAGCTTCCTCCCTGCTGCTTCCCCGGGCAGGACACTGCCCTGCTGTGGACAGAAGGGGTCTGGAGGCAGAGGGAGCTTTTGCTGGCCCAGGCTCAGGGGCTGCTCCGTGCCCGTGTTGGGTTTGCAGGGCTTTGCTCGGTGATCCCAGACCCCCAGGGGCAGCGGCAGGGAAGGCTGAGCTTTGCTGCCCACGGCTTCACTTCAGTAACAAACTGCAGATTATAGAAATATGGCTGGAGAGCACAAACACGAGTTGGTTCTATTTCCCACTCAGCTTTGGCATTCCTTGATGCAGCAATGTGCTCAGCCAAGAGCTGTGGAAAAGCAACAGACTCCCCAAAAGGCCTGGGACCCCTCTACCTGCAGGGAAACACAGAGCCCCTGGTCAGACCCTGCTCCTCTGTATGATCCATGGAATCCCCGGGGCTGGCAAAGCCCTCCCAGCCCAGGGAGTCCCAGCTGGGCCCCATGCCCACCTTGTCCCCAGCCCAGAGCACTCAGTGCCACCTCCAGGGGACACCTGCAGGGATGGGCACTGCAAAGCTCCCTGGGCAGCCCCTGCCAGGGCCTGGCCACACTTCCTCCTGCTCAGGGGCTGCAGCCAATTTAATTCCTCCCCTTGTTCCCCTCCAGGCTGGGTTTTGTAAGCCTGGGGTGGGTGTGGGAGCTCTGAGCAGCTCTGGGGCCCTCTGATCTCCATTCCTCCCTGTGGACTTTGAAGATGACTCCAACCCAAGAGGTGCCACACACTCAGGTGCAGCTACTGAGGGTGGCAGGGGGCTGTGAACAGTGAGAAGGGGTTTTGCCAAGCATTCCACCCATCCATAGGATCCCAGAAGGGTTGGGTGGAAGGGACCTTAAAAGCTCATCCGGTTCCTATTCCCTGCCCTGGAGGGGTTGTAGTTCCAACCTGGTTACGAGTTCCTGCCCCAAGCAGGAGCAGAAATTCCTTACTTGGAACAGAAGGTGTGTGTGCGTGGGGAAGAGCAACCTGCCAGGGGCAAACCAGACCAATAAAACCACATTTTATTAAAACAGCCCTTTCTACATTAAAAAATATGTCCGAGGCCTTTCCCCTCCTTTCCTTCCAAGCCCTTGGAAGTGTTGCTGTGCAGCAGCTGTGTGGGGTGTCCCTCCTGCCCTGCCCCGAGCCCAGCACCTGCAGCCCTGGGAGGGAGCGTCCTGCTCCATGGACCAGCAGCATCCCTAGGCCTTCCAGGTGTAGGTGTAATCCTTCATCTCCAGCAAGCGGATGGAGGATTTTCCCAGAGTCGGACACTGCTGCAGCTGATCCAAAGTCTTGGGATGCAGCCCGCAGGCAGGCAGGTCCTGCTGCACATCCTCCTGCAGAGGGCACACACCGAGTCAGGGTTTCTGCGGGAAGTGCCTGGAGCTCCCCCACTGCTGAGGGAGGAGCCCCAGGGGTGATCCCGGAATCCCGGTGCGAAGGGAAGGTCCCGCTCTGGCCGCCCGGGCGGGGCCGGGGCCGCGTCCTCACCTGGGCCGGGGCCGGGCGGGCGTTGAAGGCGGCGCTGGGCTCGTGGGCGCTGAGCAGGGCGCGGAAGGCGCCGCGCTGCGCCGGGCCCAGCACCAGCGTCAGGGCGTGCAGGGCGTGCGGCAGGACCGGCCCCAGCACCTCCAGGCTGAACACGTCCTCGAAGCCCCCCTGCGCCCGGGCACGGCCGCTGACAGTGCGAGCCTGGGGGCGGAACAGTTAGCGCCGCAGCACCGCGGCCAGGGCGAGCTCTCACGGCCCTGGCAGCACCGTGCCACGGGCCCGCTGAAAATGGAAACGCTACTGTGCAGTGCACGAGGTTTTACTGTCCCTGTAACAGCTCCTAAAATGTATCCCCTGGACTGCAGGGATTGGGAAGTGCACAAGAACAGGATGAACTTCTCTGGTGGAACAAGTAGATCATCCTACTCTTACTGGGAAGAAATTTGGGTTAGATATAGGGAAAGAATTCTTGGTGTAGGATGAGGAAGCCCTGGCACAGGTGTGGCTGCCCCTGGATCCCTGGAAGTGTCCAAGGTCAGCCTTGGAACAACCTGGGATGGTGGAAGGTGTCCCTGGCCACGGCAGGGGTTGGCACTGGGATGATCCTGAAAGTCCCTCCCAGTCCAAACCATTCCTTGCAGGAGCAGAAGGTGAGCTGCTGGTCAGGGGCTCCTCGAGCAAGGGGCTGGGGTAGTCTGAGACCCCATAAGATCTGGGGAGAATTTAACAACCGCTTTCCCTCTGGGCAGCTCTGCACAGCCTCTTGTCTCTCGGGAGGTGAGGAAAGGGAAGGCTGGGATTCCAGTTCAGCACAGGGATGTGTTGTAGGGATTTAGGAACGGGCTGTGCCTGCAGACAAAATGCTGACTCAGGCTTTAGCCACAAAAATCCCGCTGTGCCGCCTGAGGGAAAGTTCACCAAGCCCGGGTCTGATCCCTGGGTAAGGAAACTGCTTCCTCCCCCTCCCCGGAGCCAGCCTGTCCCTCACCTTGAGCGTCTGCATGGTCCCGCCGCGGAAAGCCACCGGGGACAGCAGCGTCGGGGGCAGCCCCGCCTGCGGCCCCGCCACCGCCACCAGGCTGCGGCAGCTGATCAGGAAGTTCAGCAGCGTGAAGGTGTGGCTGCCTCTCACCAGCACCAGCGACTCGGGTCTGTGATCCACCTGCACCTCGTGCTTCTCCTTGCGCCTGGGGAGCGAGTCAAGGGAAAGCCACGGCGCAGAGGGAAGCATCCATGTGCCAAAAAGCTGGACCAATGAGCCCCCCACACCCCATCTGACCAAAATCCCCAACACCAAACCCCACCCAGCTTTGCACCCATCCAGATCTGCTCTTCAGCTGTTAAGCAGCATCTTAATCCTGGCTTCAAATCCTAGGAATATTGGCAAAGTAACTAAAAATGCAACCTCTCATATCGTGCAGGAATGTGAGGATTCATATCTGGAAAACAGTTCTCAAAACCTTCTACAGAACTTAAATGTGAAGCACAGCACTGTAACAGCTGCAGGGTTTTCTGGTGTCACACATCTGGAAGATCAAAGGAAGGATACATTTGGATAGAAATAGTATCTGGTTTCTTCACCTTGTCTTGGACTCCCATCTCCTCAAGCCAAGAGAAGCTTCCATCATCATCATCATCACTGGGAGTTGGTTCCCTGGAGACGCAGGATGAGTGTTAGGAGGGCAGTGCCTCCGAGGAAGGTTTTCCAAATGGACTGTGCAGGAGCCTGGAAGTCCAGCACTGCACAACTGTGGGTAATAGAAAGATAGAAACTTCCACAGATTCAGGACGGTTTGATCTACAGCCTTGGAAGGAGCTTGGATTGATGTAAAAGTAAAGTACATTATTAAGTAGAATAACAGACATTAAGAACAAAGAACAGACATTACGTAGAAAAGTCATCAACTTATTTTCTATAGTTGTAAGTAAGAATATACCTTAAGTAAGTGAGAAACTGTATTGATAAGATGGTGAAGGGTTTATAATTACATTATAATTATATATTATAATTGGTTATATATAATTGGGTGTGGTTGTATAGAGTAAGTGTTTAGAAGCCTTAAGTGAAGCATCTGTGTGTGAGTTAGAAACCCATTAGACAAAATTATCCGCAGTGCAGCAGAAGTAAGTAAAGGTGACAGGTTAGGAAAGCAAAACAAACCCTGTGGCAGCTGTCTGCTGGGTTAGAAAGTTCTATATTGCCTTGTAATGAAGGAACTTGTGACTACTTTGAGCTATGGCCGAATGCTTGCTCCTCTAAAATCTCACCCTGGGATGGTGTTTATCTGAGCAAGGAATGGATGGTCCCATCCCTTTATTACAAAGGGTGACAATGATACACAACGCTGTTACTTACCCCGTAACAATGCTGTTACTTACCCCGTAACAACACTGTTACTTACCCCATAACAACGCTGTTACCTACCCTGTAACAACGCTGTTAATTACCCTGCAACAACGCTGTTACCCCGTAACAACGCTGTTACTTACCCCATAACAACACTGTTACTTACCCCATAACAACGCTGTTACTTACTCTGTAACAACGCTGTTAATTACCCTGCAACAATGCTGTTACTTACCCTGTAACAACAGTTACTTGCCCTGTAACAACACTGTTACCCCATAACAACACTGTTACTTACCCCATAACAACGCTGTTACTTACCCTGTGTAACAACACTGTTACTTACCCTGTAACAACGCTGTTACTTACCCTGTAACAAC